ACAAACCTTCTACATAGAGTTTTGCTCATGTGGTTTCAAGGCAGTTAGCTTGACTAGTATGGTGCCACTTTTTACTACTGACACTTCAGGTCGCAGAATCATCAATGGTCTCGAGGTTGCAGTTCTCTCCCCAGCTCCACCATCCACATTCGGGTCATCTATAACTTAGGCCGTGGCGAAGACAACCTCTAATAAATACTACCTTGGCGCATACAACGCTGAGTGTGCCCTGTGTGCGTGCTTGATGCTGCTATTACCGTCTTGGGCGTTCGTCAATGCGTACATCCCATTCGTGTCCCATTCGTGTAAACCTGACTCGGCTTCCAGGTGCCTTAGATCCTCAGGCCTCACAGCCTATATCGAGCTGTTAAGGCTGTACCTATACTGTAATCTTGATAGGTTCAGATGGTTGTTTGCCGAAATCGGTAAGATCATGATACATCTTGCTCGGGATTGATGGCTTTCTTTAGAACCATACTGACAACGCGGTTGGCATTGCGACACGCAACCAATGCTCTCTCGACCAGATTATTGTACAGCATGACATCAGCTCCGGGCAGCTGACCCTTGAACCAAATGTTCGTGACCTCATCTCGTGTGGGTAGGTAGGCAATGCAGCAAGCCGCATATATCTTGTGGTAATCGGCAATGGCTGGGTCGAGGACGATGGACGGTGGGCTTGTTGCGTCCTTGGCGACTAGCGCTGCGACGCCGCCGGCCACGGTGTCGACGCAGTCGATACCCGCATCGGCGATCGCGGCCGAGGCTACAGTGATGCAGCCGCTCAACACATTCATTGTATCCCAGCCATCTTCGCGTTGGTTTTCAGGCGCATTGCGATCCTGATCGCCCTCTATTATAGTGACTATGATGTCGACACCGCTCTTGGGCCAGCGATCTGCGATGATGGCGCCTCGAAGTGCTGTCTCCAAGTGTACACCGAGATCTCTCTCGCTCGAATCCCGCAAATAGCCGCGGCGTTGTTTCGTCGCAAAAGGTGCATATTTGACGTGAGTCGTCAGGATGATGTGGGGGGAGAAGGGCGCAGATCGCGGGAGAGCTCGCGGGCCGTGGACGGTGCAGGTCAACTTGAGGCTCGTGTTGCTAGGACCAGTCGCATTGGGGTTCTCAAGCTCCAAGTAGGCGGATCCAGAAGCGGACGGCGTCACACCCGTTTTCAAGACTACGTACGCATGGAAGTTTAGCGGGTGAAAGGACGAACGCGATAATCTCGCCACAGCGTGCTACGTACAAATCTTGCGGATGGCATTTGCAGGCTTCTCTGCGCGATCCCGAGGTGGGGCAGGGCTGTCGTAGACAGGAGGCAGAGTAGTTCCCACGGGACCATTTATCCTTCTCCGGTCAGTCATGGCGGCCTGGATTTTGGTGTTCGTTGCCGATGCGGTTGGCTGGGCAAATATCACAGGCACTGGGAGCTTTTGTTAGGTTGTGTTGAAGCTCTAAGAAAATCGGAGCCCCATCTTCCTTATCGATTTGCCCCGCCGGCAGCTGCCAATCACATGGTACCTAAGGTAGGCTCCACTCGCAGCCAACCTTTCCCTTAAATTTCGTTCTTTAGAATTTTGCAGCTTCATCCTCCACTCCCCTACCACTTCGCTTTCTGCTGAAGTTTGGCATCAATCACCTTGAGAGCACCATCTCACGGCTCAAAGAGAACTAGCAAGTGGTTGGGTCGATTAGAACATCGTTTCATTGATCCGATTATGAGACTATCGTGCTTGGACAACTCTTTTCTTGCCGAAATATTGTACGGTAAGTTGGAAACTCGCGCTCAGCCCTTGGTCCCATGGCCAACACCTTTCCCTCTACTCCTTCTTCGCTATTGATGAAGTATCTTCCACAGTTCTCGCGATCTCCTGAGCATTTTGAACTAAACATGCACTACCATCTGAAGCACCATCTTGCCTACATTTTCTAGAACCCAATTTCTAGGCCAACAGCTAACGACGGCATTAGTAACACGGAAAGTAAAGCAGACCTATATCCCCTTGTCTGTTTCGATATTTGATTAGGAGGTCAGTCATACACAGCTCGCGCTCTTCTCTTTGTTTCTTTTTCTGTGATGAGACCTAAATCATTCAGTTCTGCTTCTGAACATAATGAAGAAACCCATATACCAAAAATTTACTCTGATGCAACAACATTTCCCAAATTTGCTTAAACACCTTTTGTGATGGGACAATTATCTGACCGTTTCTCAGATTTACTTAGATGTCACCGCATGTCTCTCAGTGATTCGATAATCCGTATGAAATCGAGAGGTAAGCCATCTTCATTTGTACACGTACACTTTATCCATCATGATGAAAACTGTTTATCCATTCAACTATCTCACAATGTGTCGAGCCACCCTCCCTCACCGGAGTCGGCCCTTCTGGGCTGATGATGATTGGTTGTGGAGTTGCTTATCAGCTGCTCTAGTCTCGTGCTGGAGTTGTTGAAAGTGTTATGCTGGCTTCCGAGTTTTCCATCCTCATGTCTCGTCTTGAGGTGTGTGGTGGAGAGCCGACACATGTGAATGAGTAAACCGGTTTGCTGAACTAATGCCATCATATTATATTTCGAGTCGAGCCAATATTATGACCTCGCTAACCCCATATTGATTTCAGGTCTCCTTGCCATATTCTATATCTTTCAAAAGCTACAGCCTTGCAAGCAGGGCAAGAAGGTGAGAGGAGTAGATGATGCTGTGACCAACGGTAGAATTGTCGTAGCCATGTATGATCGATTATATTTGCTCGCCTTGGTAGAAGCGCCCAGTTTATTTGATATCTATAACATGAATACATACAACGGCGTCTTATTGTCCTCCTATGATCTTCTGTGCATGGTTCCGGCACCAGCCTGGTGGTTGGGAAAGATTAGTGTGTCAGCAACCACGACGTTCTCCCTCCTTCCGGCAACGAAGACAACTATCTCAGCAATGTCATCAGGAGTTAAAGGATCAACACCGCTAGAAGTGTAATTAGCGATAAAAGACCTAACCCGTAGGGTAGAAAACCCCAGCAGAACTCACGCGTATACGGCATCAGCCTTAGCTTTATCGCCATAGAACCGAACGACAGAGAATTCCTGTGTCAACATTAGTATATACTTCACCAGGTCCCGCAACACCCTGCTTTTCTTAATAATAATAAAAATAAAAATAAAAAAGCACACTTACGGTCTCAACTTGGCCGGGATCGATCTCAAGCACACGGACGCGCGAGGCGATGAGCTCCTTGCGCAGGGAATCGGTGAAGCTGCGGACGGCGGCCTTGGTGGCGCAGTAGATGCTGCCGCCGGCGTAGGGCTCGCGGCCGGCGATGCTGCCGATGTTGATGATGTCGCCGGAGCCGCCGTTGGGACGGCGCAGGAAGATGGGCAGGATCGCCTGCGTCATGTTGATCAGGCCCGTCACGTTCGTGCTGAACATGACGTCCACGTCCTCCTCGGCTATCTCCGGCGCCTTGGCTACGCCCTTGACGAGACCGCTGTTGCGGTTATTCGTTTCGCGTTAGTTTTTTTTATATCATTTCTTCGCCTCAGTGTCTTGTCAATGCATCCGTCGTCCTGTGTGTCTTTCTCTCCGAATAGTATGAAACCTGTTCTGTTCCCCATCCTGCACGATAGGGGTGGGCGGGTGGATGGAGACAGACGACAGAGAATGTAGAGAGATAGATAGATAGGTAGGTAGGTAGGTAGGTAGGTGGATGGGGAAGAAAAGAGACTTACGCATTATTCACGAGCACGTCGATCTCCTTGAATTCCTCGGGCAGCTTGTCGACGAAACCCCGCACCTCGTCGGGCTTGCTGACGTCGAGCTGCACGGGGAGCACGGCGACGTTGCCCTCGCCGACCTCGGCCTGGATGTCGGCGGCGATCTGCCTCAGCGTGTCGACGCGGCGCGCCGTGAGCACGAGCTTGAGACCGCCCGCGGGCGCCGCCGTCCGCGCGAACTCAAAGGCCGTGCTGCGGCCGATCCCGGACGACGCGCCCGTCACCAACACCGTCTTGCCGGCGAGGCGCTTCGCGACGGCCGAGGACATGGTGCGCGATGCGAGTCTCGGCGTGAAAAGGGTCTTTTGGAAAAGGAGGAGGAGACGCGGACTACTACTGGATCCTGGTCGGAAGTGGCTGGAAAGAAGCGTGCGTAGCAGTAGTAGTGTATGGTGGTGGTGGTGGTGGCTTGAGGCTGTTGTGCGATGGAGGGGCATATAGATACCTAGATAGGGAGAATGGGTGGGTGGATTGAATAGCCGGATCGGGCTTGCGACGAGATCAGACAGACGGGAAGAAAAAAAAAGAAGAATAAATACAGTAAGTAAAATGCAACAGTCTACGTCGTACTTGCCCTCTTATTCGCCAATCCTGGGCTGCTGCGGTTTTAACCAAGGCGGATATTTGGATACTCGATATCGGATCAAGAAGGTAACTTGCTGTAGGTACCTACCTACGATGTCGCCATCGCGCGGAGGTCCTTCGTCAACCCCGCCATGGTGGATGATGGTCTTTTCCGAGCTGCCCCGCCGACTTAAAAAAAAAAGCCGATTTCCCGGTGACTTAGTAGGTATTAATACCATCGCATATCATATCATCTCGGAGAGAATACAGACATACTATATACTTGTCAATAGTGAATAACGATGGCCCTTAAGAGCTTGAGTTTTTGATTGATATCAATACCGCTGCACAGCCGTCCTCCGACATACAATCTGCTATTATTTACTCATCTTTCAACACTTCCTTGTTTCCCCGTCCGCAGAAGTAGACAGCAGAATCAACTTCCTCCAGTCCCCCGCGAGCAATAAGAAAAAAAAAGAGCAATGAGAGGAAGCATTGGATTAGTTTCCCCCATATTCGGACTGAGGATGGTAAGTGATGCAGAAGATGTTTCTATTCTGTTTGGCGCGGCATCGCCTTTTTCCATATAGGCGGGTTTTGGACGTGGTGGTTTCCAATCGCCCATTTGTGCGCGCGCAGCACAGCACATCACCATCGCTGAGGTAGTGTAGAGGTTAGCACGTAGGATTTTGATCAATACTGGATTATTATTAAAATTCCTGAATCCCCGGTTCGAACCCGGGCCCCAGCTTTTTGCCGTGCAAAAATGTTGATGTTTGTCTTGCATATTCTGCAAGGGCGGATCGTTCTTGTTTCCCCTGGGTATTTCTAGCGGCCGTGCCCCTGAAAAAACAAGGCTGGAGAGGAGGGGGGGGGGGAGGGGGGAAGGGGGGTTATGAGAAAATGCAATGATTAGTTCGTTTTTATACTTGATTGCTGTGAGACATGGAGCTTTGGGTAAGGTATTATGCTTAGCATAAACTATTGTTCTTATTTGTGAATAACTTGTATATTATTGTCTTGGAACCGTGCAAACGGTCTGCATGTCTCATAAGAGCTGGTGATAACTGATAACAGGAGGAAAACAAAGCTGCTAGACGTGTACAATCAACTGCACCACTTTCCCCGTAGAACACCTTAAAACAGAACATATGGGTTCACATATTTAAGTATTATTGTACTGGTATAATAGGAATCGCTCTTCTAACATACCCTCTAGGTATCAAACATCTAGTCTTCCTCTTCAGTTTATGAAATTACTGGAGGTTCCAGCCTTATACTTCTTTCACTTCGCACCAGTGGGCTGTTTCAGTCCCTCTATTCATCGGAGTGGAAGCATTCCGCGGAAAAGGGGAGAAAGGGGGCGTTAGTGTTATATTCCCGAATCCTCTCCTTGATCGTAAGAAAGCGGACGGTTGAGCTGACAGAATTTTACCGATATCGGGTTGTTCTCGGCGGTTCCGTGGGCCTTTGCTGCCGAATAGTGTAGTACATGCAATAAATACCATTACACCACTTGCTGTGTAGAAGTGCTCACGCATCAGGAGTCGTCCGTCTTCTGAGGGTCGGGAATACTCTGAATTTAAGCCCTACGGTCCTCTAGCACAGCAGAGCAGTGATATAGTTATCGCTGCAGTCGAAAGAACATCGTCATGCCTCCAAATGGTTATTCCCGCCATGATTATGTTTCGTATATGTCTCGACCCATCAGGGGTTGTGTCTATTTCTTTATCTCGTCCTTCCAACGGGATCATGGTCCCTGTCAACAAAGGGACCTCTTAGGATTCTATAGGAATCTAACAAGTTCTTATAGCCCATCAAGCCAGCTCTTCACAGCGGCTATCGCAATGTCGTACTCAAACGCGACATTATCCTTGGGAGCTAAAGGCAGAGGTTTATCCCAGGCGTGTTGCTCGCCTTCAAGAACCCGAACGCTGATCTTCTTGCCGCGCTTTTCGAGTCGCTCTGCGAACAGTTTGCCCTCAGCCAGGACCATGTCGTGTTCACAGAGGCACAAATGAACAGGCGGTAATTGGTCTACCAGCTCATCAGGCATCAATCCCGGCGATAGCCGTGGGTCAGTCCGTTCACGCGGTGGAACCGGAGGGTGTAAATACGATGCATCGACCAGATCTGTCAGCCCTCTCGGTAGTGTCCTATCAGGGTGCTTGCAAGCCATTCGTTTCTGTGGTCGGTCTAGTGTGTAGTCAAGTGCGGGATAATAGAGGACGAGGCCGGCAATTTTGGGTAAAGGTTCCGGTATTTCGTAGTCCCATCTCGCAGGGTCTGCTAAGACAATCCAGCTACTTGTAGCTAGGTTTCCACCGGCAGAGAAGCCGGATAGGATGATGCGATCAGTGTCGATATTATATCGCTCTGCAAGCCGACATATCTGAAGAATAGCGTCGACGCAGTCCTCTACCGGCGTTGGAAAGGGATAGCTCGGAGCGAGGCGGTAGTTGACGGAGAAAACAACGGCGTCCAAACTGCTCACGAGAATATTGGCCCATCGTGAATCATCGGTTCCCTGGCCGAGAATAAACCCGCCGCCATGGAAGTTGATTACAGCCGGTCTCTTCTCAGCACTAGACGGCTGTGAGTTATCCTGGGGGATCCATACGTTTGCGCTGAACCTCTCTTTGCCTTTCTGATCACTCAGTGTGGAATCTAGCCAGATTGTTTCTGTAGGGGATGCCGCGGGTATGCCTGAGCGGTTACCAAGGTTGAACCCGATGCTAGCAACGAAACGGAGGCCCCAAGCATGAGCACCTAGCAGCCAACGGGGGCTCTTTTCTGCAGGATTCACATAGTCTTCCTCCACGGGCGGTGGTCCAATATCGTGGATCGAAGCGACTTCTGCGGCATCGACTTTTGCTGTGTCCTTAGTAGCCTTAGACATTGCTATAATGTTTCTTGTACATTTATTAGGAGGCTACCGAGCGATTGTGTAGAGATCTTGTCCCAAACTCAATCTTGAGAGTAGGTTGTGGGATGAAATGATATGTGGGGGTGTGACGTCGTATGGTAAACATTAGACCCTTAAAGCAGCCTATAATCTTGGGGATTTGGTACGAGAACCTTGAATCGGAAACAAGCTACAGCGTATTTGCCACATTGACCAAATCTGGCTGCCTATAGGTATCTTGGCAAGCTGTATTGCAGAAAATGAATGGGCAGTTATTTAAAGGCGGGACTTCCACTGACAAGAAGAATCATGACGTCACCAGGCGATCTTATATTTGTCCAAATAGCATTATTCTATGGCCTGACATTCTCTAGCTCATCGCTACATGCCTGCCCATTCTAGACAAAAAGTCCTAACGGGTGGTGCCACTGATCCGCCTTTAAGTTTGGGTTGCTGATTCACTTCATCCAGCGATGTGCCGTGGCCGTCGCCAGCCTCGTTAACATCCGAACCATCAGTCACGGCCCCACCAATGAGATAGCCCTTCTTGACAGAAGTACCAAGTCTCCCGCCTCCGACAAGATCCATCATCGTGATCTCCTCATCCCAACTGAAGTGTACGCCGACAAAGTGACTGTGAAAACGCAGAGGATCGCCGGGGTACACGTTATAGTCGCAGCCAAAGCGAAGGCCAGGCATCATATAATATCCCTTATCGTGCAAGTGCGCAAACAGGGGATAGGATACAGGCACGTCTACGGCAATTGAGGACTCTAGTTCTGGATGTGGCGAGGGTGGTAGAAGAAAGCTGCTGGTAGTAGGTGTGAGAACGTAGCCCTCAACCTCGCTAGGCAGCTTGTCGGTTGGTTTGCGTGTTGTAGGTGCTGAATCGAAGAGACTACTACTCTCATCTGCTTCGATCTCACCGTCGATGGAATGATTGGTGGATAAGTCCTCCGGTTCCTCTGCTGCCTTCTTGTTTTTCTTTTTCTTCTTCGACTTTCCTTCTTGTGGCTTGGGTCTATTGCGATTGTAGCTCTCGATCACAGCTATTTGCATCTTCTTACCCTGGTTCTTGAGCAATTGTACGTAAGCGCGTCGTGACGCCTCATCGAACGTTGCCAGTCGGGCTGGGTGGAACGTCGCGTCGTCAGCGATGTAAGCCACCTTCTTCTCGATCAGAACTTTTGCTTCTTCTGGCATAAGTTCTAAGGGAAGCCCCATAAAGACGTTCTGTTGAGGATTCTGGGGGATAGTCCCTACGAAGACGGAGCATATATTGTAGTTCCTGCGTAAATACATCACATCTTCTATGTCGAAAAGCAAGTATCGTCCGGCGACCTTCGATATCCTCACCAAAGGATGGTCATCAGATGAGGCTGAAGCCATCGTCACGTCGGTAGTTGTCCTGCTTGGGAATGAGTTAGTTGATAAAGCCTCCTGATGTTTGCGATAATACGATGTAGTAAATGGACGTCGTATCATAAAACCAGATATAGATGTTATCAACATAATTGTCATTCAGTGGATTGACAGATATTAATTGGGTATAATCATTATGGAAATAGGAGAAAGAAATCATATTTGGTTGACTCACCTGTTAGTATGGTTTGAATGTTGTAGGAATCTGAGTTTGGTTCGAATTTGGAGAAAAGTTTTGGAGATGTCCATGTGGGTGGAGAATTCCGTTACCTGTGTATATGGTATGCAATAATCCATATTATGAGATTATGCCATTATCGAATAAATGTGTGTTAATCCGAGCAAGTTGATCGCGACGGGAGACTCAAGGAATTTGACGTAGTCTTAAAAATCTATGCTTGGTTTTCCGGAATCTCCTGCTGTGGTTTCATTTTCATCACCATCGGCTGGAGGAAGGTAGAATGGTTTGATTATCAGTCCCCTTGACCTACTAAGACTGAAAGATTGATCATCTAGTCCTGAGTGCGACCCGCCTCCTTTCTCATGGAAAATTGGTAGACTGTGGACTTTAATCAGGCCTTGAACTTTCTCCTCGTCCTTTCTCTCACTATTCGATGATGGTGGCGGTTTATGGATAGTTGTAGATTGCAGTGGTATGAACTCGAGCACACCATCACACAGTAATTCCATCCATCGCGTGAGGCCTGTTGTCCGAGGATAAAGAGAGAGAGGTAATGTCAAAAGAACGGTTAGATTTTTGGGGTGTTGCCTTAACAAGGCTCTTAGAGCGTGTAAGAACTGTAGCACTTCCTGTGGAAGAGAAGACGAGCTCGCATACATAGTTGGGGACAAGAGATTGGGAGCTATTACACGATGGACCGAGGACGGTGGAGAATTCGCCAGCTTCAATGATAAGTCTCTGATGAAGGCCTTGAAGGGAGATGTCTGTTGAGCTCCAGGACCTGAGATAACCATAGATTGGTGAAAGCCGATCTGACCCTTCACATCGCTAGGGGACAACCTCTTCGTAAGGTCGAAAGAATGGCAGAAAGGTGTTATAGCGCCGGCATTAGATACACTCGGGGCTCGTTGTGCTTCTCTATCTAATAAATGTGTAAGTTGATTACGAGCTTACATAGAAAGTTGGCTCACAGCATACCTCTCGCTATCCCTGTAGAGCCTAGACTCTCATATCTCCAAGCGATCTTCATTTTGTCTTCCGAGGATGCTTCTGACTTGCTAGAAGACTTGGAATCGGTCGAAAGTCCAGGTAGATCTGCTCGCCAGCCTTCATGTAGGCCAAGTACATGAATTTGGTGTCCCTGCACTAAACCCTCAGCTGCATAATAGCGAAGGAGCATGCCGGCAAAGTCGGTGGTCCCATGTTCGCCAATGAGAAGTGAAGTACCAAGAGGTATGCCTGA